TCCGCAGGTCTTCTCTCCAGCAGGCCCCCCCAAAGCCTGTACTGGTGCATGAGGTTGTTCCTCCCCAGGTGCAGGACCCCGCATTTGGCTTTGTTGAACCTCATCAGGTTCCTCTCTGCCCAGCTTTCCAGCCTATCCAGGTCACGCTGGGGAAGGAGAGAGCTTACGGAGGACAAGCCAGCAGAGGTTGTTCGAGAGGGCCATAGCAAACCTCTCTCCATCTTCACCCCTGGTTTGTGATGGTCCTGCCTCTGGCCTTGGATCACGGGGTGGTCTGCCACAGCAGTTTGCTGCCTGAGGATGTGTTCGGCTGGGATTCAAACAGCTGCTGCCTTTTTTCTCTCTCTCACCGTGTTATTTTTCCCCATCTCCTCGGCCGGGATGGCCAGAGCAGCCACCTCGGCGCGGGCCATCTCGGGATGGACGGTACCTCGCTGCGGGGAAGCAGCACAGCCTCCCTGCTCCTCCCCTGCGGGTCCCAAAGCAGTGCCCCTGCGAGAAGGCAGAGGGTCAGACAGGCTGCCCAGGGCCTGCAGACCCCGGTTACCTGCGGGCGACGGTGTGGCTCCGGGCGTTATGCTGGCGGTGCTGGCGAGATCCAGCATCTGAGACATTTACAATATAGACAGCGTTTCATGGGAATTGTGACAGAGCTTAAAATAGGCTGGTGTTAACCCTCCCTTTTTTTTGTTTTTTTGCTCTTTTTGGCTGCCTAGATCCAAACCGAAGATGAATTGCGAGTGATGACAAGTCTGGTATTTAGAACAGCCGAGTAGAAGATAGCGGGCAGTAGTAGCTAGACTCCAACACAAGCCTCATCCCTCCTGCGGTCTCCAGCTCTTCCCAGAGCGTGAACAGCTTTCAGTCCGCGTGGAAAGCGCGAAGGGGGCAAGGCTGCCCTTCCCAGTTAGCCACTGGAGGGCTGAGCACCGGGGAAGATGCTCCGTGATGGTACGGGAAGGGTGTGGGGGAAGGCCAGCGAGTCTGGGGAGCAGGAGAGTTGAAGGGGTTGTTGTAGGCTTTGAGGTAGGAGAGATCTCTCCTCTTGATTGTGGTGTTATTTCTGTTCTGAGTATTGCTTAGAAATTCTCTTCCTTGGCTTGTAACTTCGTAACTCCTCCCTGCAGAGTAAAGGAATCTGTAGCCCTCGCAGAAGCTGCAGTCTTTGAAGCGCTGAAAAGGAATGAAAGGGAAATGCTGGCAGGTGATGGGAACTCTGCCTTAACTTCAGGGAGACACCACCCCTGAATTGCCTTGACTTCAACTTTAAACTTTGCATTATCCAGTATTCCACTTATTTCTGCGGCTGTGCTGACTCATTGGCAGAAAGTGTATTTTGGTGTGACAGCGGGCTGGTAGACGAACGCCGTCGAGACCTCATTGCCGAGTGTCAGCCTCAGGAGCACGTGCCGGTCCTTGCCTGCCGCTTTGGAAAGCTTGCTGATCCAGATTTAAAAAATAGCTTTAAAGACCTAGAATTCCAAAACCAGAGACAGCTTCTGGGGGAAATTTCAACCTTTAAAAGGAGTTGTGATAATCAAATTTACCATTTATTTAGATAAGGCAGTAGAAACTGATTTGTAATGTTAAGAAATTAGGGAGCAAAAGGATTTTTTCTCCACACTGTAAATATACCCAGCTTACAAAAGAGCCTGGTCTTAGAAGTATTCACGTGCATTGCGGAGCAGAGGTTGGTCCTGATCTGGTACTCCGGCTGGAAGCCGTCTCCCGGCCTTGAGGTGTCCCGGGGAGCCCTGCATCCAGCTCTGCACGCCTGTCTCTTGCCTCCTGGCGTCCTCCTGCCTGTACGCACGCAAACCGCTGCCCTGAAGGAATTCTCATTTCCTCTGCCTTCATTTTACGCTTTTGTTTAATAATGAAAGATAACGACGGTGCTGTAATACAGCGTTGTCATACGTGGCAGAGAAGGGGGAGAAGAAGGCAAACGAGCAGCCTTGGTGGCATGCGTGAGCGAGGCAGTGGTGTGTCAAGAAATCAGCTATTTTCGTCGCTGTTTCCCTA